GGCCTGGTTCATGTTGGTGTTTCAGAAGTTGAAGGTTGAGACTGCCTGTTTTGCACATGACATCATGTCTCCGGCCCAAGCTCAATTTTGAATGATGTTGCATGATTTGGATGGAGATTGAGTTTCCAAAGGCAATCATGCACATCATTGTGCAGCCGAAGTGAGAGTCTTATCACTCGACCAATATCAGGTGTTCTTTCTTTATTTCAAGGCCCTCAACTACAATTTCATTGTGCCAAGGGTATGAGTCGAAGCACTGGCAACCCCAAACAGAATGCAACAGGTGCTGATCCATTGAGTCAGTATATTCAATATATTCAGTCTTTGCTATATATCCACCTTCGGTGTCCCAAAAGAAGGACAAATTCATAAGACTCCATATGTATCCATCATCATCATCATCATCACCATCACCATCATCGTCATCATCATCGTCATCGTCATCGTCATCATCATCATCATCATCACTGCATCCTCTCCAAATGGGCCTTGGGGTGCTTGCCTGCTTGAATTGACCACACGATCACCACAGTGTCTGAGACCCCGACCGCATCTGGCTGGGTCAAATCCACGGCCGCAGCTTGGAAGCCCAACCTGTGCGGAGAGCTGCGAAGCCCAAGCGCTGAGAGGCAGAAGTCAATGGCAGTTCAAAGAAGTGGCGCAACACTCCAAGAAGGCGTAGTGGGGCCACACAAATTTCCTTTTTTTTTAAAGAAATTTGTGCACATCCAGACTCGACTGAAGACCACTGCGGTCGTAAGTCTATCCTACTACCCTTGGCAAATGCGGCGCCATTGGACGTGTTCCTCGATAACGGTAAGTCTAGTTCTGGGAGCCACCTACTACATAATTTATACACAATCCTCACTCTAGACATGGGCACTTTACCACGAAGAGGTAGGAACCCTGGCTTCAGCCACGTCTTTGAAGGCTCCATGGCTTCCAGGTGACGTGGACCATCGCCCTTTCCCGAGGTGACGTGGTTCTCATGTTGCACAACTAATTACAGTTGACAGTGCTCAGGAATCGGGGTCGGACAGTGTGACTCACGACAAGTCGACATTCTCCATCCCAGCGAAGCGCTGCTCGTTCGTCACATCCTCCGCCAAGCTGCCATGCTTTCACCTTCGCCTTGGCCAGGTCGGTGAATCATGAATGGTTTAATCAGCTCATTGATTCCAAGCCCACTGGTGGATTTACTGGTGGATTCCAGGCATCCTCTCCATCTCCCTCACTTTCAGGGATCCTAGATGATCCTGGTATTTGGGTCAGCCTGGTAACCTGACAAAATCAATACTTGCATCTGAGCAAAGCATCGCCTCGACAATGCTTCCGGATCTTCCTGGCCTAACCTTGCAAGCAAGTAATCCAAACCTGCACGCATCTACAATCCCCTACCAGCGGCGCCCCATCACTTTCCCGCTGCCCGAACAGTAATAGCAAACTATTAAGCAAACTAAGGCCTGCAACTACATCGCAAGCAATCACCTCAAATGCCTTCGACGGGCCTGACGGGCGAGAAAAAAAGACATGTCCCAAAGCAACGCCAAGACCAAAAACACCTCCAAACACGCCCAACCATAGAGAAGCTACTATCTGGGGGCTCCTGGCCTTACTACTAGGAGCAAGGACGCTACGAACGGGGCTCCTGGCATTGCTACTAGTAACAAGCAGCTACTAGAGACTCGAGACTGAATCTTTTCTTATTCTTTTTCACGAACCGAACTAGTCACCGACTCCACCCCACCAATCTGCTCCGCGCGGCGCCCAGCCACCCGTCCGGACTGTCGCCAAAACACCCGTCCTCACACGACCGACACGTCGCCCAAACGGCCGACGACCGACGCGTCGCACGTCGGTGTCGTCCAGGTCGCCAGGCCCCCCATGAGCTGCACTTTCTCCGAACCGATCGCCAGTCCCAGCGCGCCGGACGTGGCCGCCACCGCGGCGCTACGTGCCAGCCTTGGGGGTGAAAGGAGGGTTGGGGGTGGAAGAGGTGAAACGCTCAGCTTAGCAGACTTTGAAATACTTGTCACAGGTCTCCCCAACCTGGAAAGCCAGAGTGAAGAAGTTTCAAATGAAACACATTGTGAAGCCTCTTAAGTGAAATACGATACATAGATCTTCGAGGTGCGTTTTTGGATGTGTTTGGTGATTGCTTTCTTTGCTGACCTTGTGGTGGCTCTTGGGTGGACCAGTTCTCATATGTCCTAAACTTTAAACATCTTGCAAGTTTGAACGTGTTTGAAGCTCTAACCAAACACAGTGCAACTGTCAAGAACACTAAGGGAACCCTTTTTGACGTTATATACATCTTGAGTGATAGATACCATGAAGTCAATCAAGTGGCTACATCAAGCTGGCGTGTGTATATATATATATCACATAGCTTGTTTTGCAATGGCCGGGCAAGAATTGCCATCCAAAAAGGCGTCCTGTTTCCAGTCGGTCCAGTCGATCCAAGAGCGTGAGTGTCCAAACCACTCCCCGTCTTTGGCGCGTGGAGTTCTTCCAAAAGAAAGCTGTGAAGACTGTGAAGTGGCCAAGGTCTGCAGAACACCCCTTGTGCTGTTTGCTTAAGGGCGGAGGGTGGGCCGCAGCGATTGGGCCAATCCTTTTCTCAGCCCAAGGGTCGACATGGCTGCAGGATGCCGCCGTATGCAATGCTAGTCTTTGGCCGCTGCTTCGGATGGGGTACAAAGAGGTCTCATAGTTTTGCCTAGCTGGTGACCCAATAACACCTGTCCAATGCAAACATATATTGCCGCATAACTTCCGCATAATGAATCACACTGATGACTGTTGCCATTGTCGCCTTGCACGTTCTCGCATGGCCGCTCTGTCAACTATCTTTCAGCATCCTGTATCGCAACTTGGCTATGTATGTATAGCAACCTGTTCTTTCTCGGGCCAAGAATATCCTCCAATCCGTGGAGGACCGGGAGAAGCTGAGGCCCGGTGCACCGACCGTGCGAGCCGGACCGTGCGAGCCGCTTGGCCCTGGCACCGCGACCGAGCCTGTGATACGGCGCTTGGGCCACTGCAAGTCTAATGTCGTGATGAAGAAGAAAAAGGCACACGGAAACTGGTGCAACCATTTGCAGCATGTCAAGCGAAAGTCAGTTGAGAAATAGAACGAACGATCAACAAGGATAAGGGGCTATATTTCAGGCTATTGCCATTGCCAGCAGCTGAAAAACAAACATCTCTTACCTCACCCAGTCCGCGTCAACTTCACCTCCAAATGCTTTTCTCCCACTCCCTTCCGGCTTGCTTTTTGCCGGTGTCCGCCAAAACGCGCGAAACCAAACGCCCCGACTCCGCAAGACCAAACGCCGCATGAACCACAGAAACCCTAACCCCTCCCACATTCTCGCCCAATGGCTTGCGCCGCGTTGCTTTTTTGCGTCGCTTTCATTCTTCCTGTGTCGGGTCGATGGGCCATCGTCTCTCCTCGGTTCGTGAAGAGTAGGAAGACCCGGGTGTCTTGACCCGAGTCGGTGTTGGGGCAGGTTGGAGCCAAGTCGGGTCTATACATATTTATACTATATATATAAGTAAAAACATAATCAATATAGTATATATATATATATGGTTTATAGCATTCTGTAATACATAAGAGATATGATGGGGCATTATGGGGGCATGGATGAAGATTGGAGGGCCATACTCCGTCAATTTCCATCATATTCGGCAGGCTCCATGGTATACAATGTATACAGTAAGTTGTGGTCAGGGTGTTTTCAGGTTCACAATAGGTTGAAACATATTCAACAATGATTTCAATTATTCTTGAATCTTAGCAATTCAGAAGTGTGGGTGTTTCACAGGTTCTTTCGGACTTGTCGTCGATTCTGCAACGGCGGGGGGTCCCATTTCTTGATTCTGGTTGAGTCCGCACACCATTCCAAATATATTCCAGTCCCATTGACTGGCATGACCAGTGCCCTCCAAAGGATCAAACACATATGCGAAAACAGCAGCCATCTGACCTTGGACATTTAGGGTCTTTGGGGATGAAACTTTGACGGCCAAAAGGCTGCAAAGGTCACCAAACGCTTCACCATCTGCACGTACTTCCGGGTGGTCTCATCCTGCACATCACCCCATACGCGAGGTGCTTTGGGACAGTCCAGGGATGACCTGCTCGTGTATTTAGTGCATGACTGCAGTCCAGGACGCTCCTCATCCCTCAAAACTTGGGGGTGATCGACTACAGGATGTGACACTTGTGACACAGCATGACCACGCGTTGAAAGTCTGGTGAGCATCAATCACCTGCAGGACTCCTGACTCGACTCCTGCAAAGTCCGGCGTGTCCCTTCCCAAACATGCCAGTAGCACATCCAACACGTGGGCTTGAGCACCTTCTCCAATCCTGAGACCAACTCAACCGACCTGGATTCCATGCATGAGCTAGTTTTCTCTGGACGGCATCCGGTGCAGGGCGCGCCGGATGGACCGAAACTCCACATATATATATATTATATCCATCGCTAATCTTTTTTTTGCTAAGGCGAGCAAAAGCCCATATAATTTTATAATATACACTATTATATCCGCCGACCCCAGCCGATGGGGGAGCGCGCCAGAGAATATATATAATTCATTCTAATTGTATTTTTTTGAATCAATGTTTTGCACTGCATCTCTTGACACTGTGATTTCGGCCGGCAAGCAGGACCTATGCCATCCAGTGAATGTAAACTCGTGTAACATAGTTATTAGATGTTATTAGTTGAATTAGTAGTAGAATGTTGTAGATAGTTGTAGTGTGAATGGGGCAAAAATGAACCAAACACAAGAGCAAACCGTTGCTGCATTGGAACGTGAACCCCCTAAGACAAACAACAGCACAAAAAGCATCTATGGAACTATCGAACTTCTCTGTTGAATCCAGCTGGAAACTTGTACTCAAAGCACCTGCACTGTTTTCCAACCAAGCTCTGCATCGATCAGCTCGGCTAAACCTGCACATTTCTCTCCAACTCAACTCGGCCTCAGCTCGTGGGGCCAGAGCTACGTGCCATCATGGCCTCGGCGGTATATCGCATGCCCAAGCCCTCCGACAAACGCTTCTTCCTCTCCTCGTTCAAGGCACGACGCTCCTCCAGTTCCTGCGCGCGGAAGGTGGCCTTGGCAGCTTCCCGTTCTTCTCGCTGATCTGGGGGAATCAGGACATCCACGGCTAAGTTCAAATGTTTTTCCCAATTGGCTCGCTCTTCCGCTGTACTGAACTCCAACTGCGTCACGGGCTGACCCTTCATGGAGATTTCCAGCTGGGAGCCATGAAGACTGCGGATGCACATGATCTCTGCCAAGGAAAAGTGCCCCTGCTCGACCGGCTGTCCGCCACGTTGCTCAAGACTCGACCATGCCAAGTCTTGACTTTGGAGCGACAGCCAAGCCCGAAGCTTGTGCCGCTCGGTCGAGAGGCCGAACATCGTGGCCTTCGGTGGAAACAGGATCACAACACCAACACCATCCTCCATTTTGGACCGGATGGACTCAAATTCGCTACTTCTTTGCCCCATTTCACGGCATTGTGGGCACCTGGAGCCGCAGAAACAGCCGATCCCTGCCACCGTGAACGCCCCGAGGCATGCAGCGCAAAAGTAACGGTCGCATGGGCCACAAATCTGACGTCGGCGCAGCATGCCAAATTGTTCACCACAACCTTCACAGCGCGAGCCATCTGATGGGACAGAGCGATTGGTGATCAAGTTGGCACGAGATTGCACTCCCCCGGCAAGGGCTTGCAATGCTCCGCGAGCCCTGTGGGCGCCAGCTTGCACAGCCAAACCAGCAGCTGTCCAGCTTGCAGGTGTGTCCTGCGACTCTCGCAGCTGGGAGGCAACCGATGCGAAGTTCATGGCATGTTGTGATCTGTGAATCTGTGAGAATCTGTTGACTTGCCGACCCTTGAACTTTTGCAGTACCTAGCGACCTTACTTCCCGCCAGCCAACAACCTCATCTGAGGTTACGTGAACTATGGCACAACACTATTGATAACTTGTTTCATGACACCAAAAGCTTGAGATCTCCAGAGATCGTGTAGTAGCTGCCGCTTCTGTCTGACACACACAGCCACGGTTGCTTATTATGTTATATCTGCAAAACCCCATTGACATTTGTTTTGATCGTAAAAGACCCTATTTTGAGTGATTGGTCCCAAATAGGTCCTTCAGGTTGTTGTAAGATGTTGTAAGTATACAATGTATAAATATGTATAATATATAGCCCACTCCATGTCGTGGAACATATGCCGCCCTAGGGGCGCTTGCCAATGAACTACTGACCCGCAGTCCCTGGGTTGGAAAAGGAGGGTTAGAAAAGACACATGCCCAGACCTTTCATGGACTGGAATGGTTGCATACATTTACCCCATTCATCACCAATATACAGGTCATTCTTCCAGTCGCAGGGATGGTCTGGCACCAAAGGCACCGTGGTTTCAGAGCTTCGATGGCACTGGCACCCCCAATGCGATGGTGTCTTAGTAGATTTTTGTCGGGGGTCGATATATTTTCAGCACACAACTTGGACATTTGTGCCATCTCCTCTCAACCCACTATATTGGACAACCCACTATATATATTGATACTACATTGGACCCCCATATAAAGGCCAGCGGCCATCCGTAAAACCGTGGTATAAGATCGTATAGGCATCTTTTGCCTTGGGTTTCTCACTCGATCGACTCTTGAAACCAAACACCGGGTCGTCCGAGGCTCTTGTGCCGTGCAGCTCGGTCGTGGAAGGTCACGAAGGTCACCTCACCGGTCGGCCAGACAGACGTGTTACTTGCAAAGCTATCTGCTTGGATTCCGGCATGGATGGTCTCTGCAATGCATGGCTTCACATATGACTTCTGAATGCTTCTGATATCTTCTGATCAGTGGTATCTGTAGCATCTCCTTGTTCTCGCGTGTCCAGTATACATCAAGTTCCCCTGTCTTAACAAACAAAGTGGTCATATCAAGGACCCCACTGCCCCCTCAGCTTCACACTCCCATAGGCCACGGGTGGTTGCCAATCGCCAAGCGCATGTATGCCTCGATCCATTTGATCCCAGGTTGGTGAGGTCAGGAGGCGGCAAGACTGCAGAAAAACCGTGGGTGCATCAACCCTTCACGTCTAGTGAACCTATGTGAACCTGTTCATCTCATTGGATTTGACCTTTTGAATAACTGGGGACAGCAAGTTTCTCTTCCACCGGTCTTCTTCCAGAGTCCAATGGAATATCGCAGAAGCACTCGACCCACCTCCTTGGCAGCTCTGTAGCGGCGCTGACTGCCTAAGAACCAACAGGACATGTACTGGAAAAAGGTTGGAGAACACTGGACATGCAGAACGCACCCAAAACCCAACTTCCATGCGTTGAGGTTTCCACCATCTCCAAGGGCCGGACTGTCCTTAGCAATTTCGGCCAACGAGAAAATGACTCCAGCATCCACTTCGCCATCCTCAGCAGCCACGTATTCCCGCACGGTCCACGCACCGCGCGTGGCGAACGCTCCACGCCACGCAGCGTGGCCACGCAGGTTCGCGGCCCCGACACGCAAGGCTCGGCGAAGCGGCTTCAAGTATTGCTTCCTGGGTGGCGAGGCAAGGATGCATGTGAGATCTGGAAATGCTGTGCATACATAGTTGGCATATGTATATATAATTATGTATACACATACAGACATATTCATAGTAAGATACAGTAAGTGTCCGGTGATACAGTAATGTACACAGCAAGATACACTAAGTGTCCTGTGACAAGTGTGACGGGACGTCCAACTGGAAAAGACACAAGAGGAGTTCTGCCATGTTCTGCCTGCTTATGTCTTTTTGGAAAGGAGTGGTCCCAATCTGGAGCGAGTGGTGCCAAGAAATGTCGGCGGAAGCTGAAAAAATTAACCTAAAAGCCTGCCGTTGGATGCACTCGCAACCGGGAGTTGCCCCCCTTCTCGCTTACGCCGCGCTTCGCTTCATTGGCATAGCTCCGCTTCCCAAACACCATGCCGATGTGCCGACACGCGTGGACACATCGATCTCGAACCAACCGCATTCACGAGAAGGCCATTGGCATCCGAAAAGACAGGGCCTTGAAATTCAATTGGGTTTCGGATGGTTTCGGATTGTTCCTTTCTTCTATCTGAGTATGCCATCCGTCCTGTCCCTCGTGCCCACGCCCATCACTCAGGAGCACACGATTGTCGATACTGAGCCTCATGAGGAATGCAATGAAGCTACTGCACATGAGTCATTTCATGTGTCAGGGTAGCTGATCAACTCTTCACTCTTCTTCTTGTGAAATTGGTGTGATGTCCTGGCCCCGTTGCACACTGCACTTCTGCCAAACATTTCCCACTCTATCCTCTCTCATTGCCTGTTGCGTTCACAAGGTCATGTGCGTTCACCATGGGCAAATGATCCATCCTGGCTGTATCTTATCTGTTTTATTACATATACATATATATCAACCCTTAGGGATTGAAGCTGGAGCTCAACAGTACGTGGAACCACCAAAACTGGCTCGCGACGACGAGTCGTGCCTTCTCGGCTTTGAAGATCTGTTGCTTCTCCTGTCAAGCAGTGGCTGCAAATTCCGCCAAGGCTTTCCCTCCCCGAAATATCCCGAAATGTATTGTAGTTGACACCACTCCAGGATGTGACTTGTTGTATCCAGTCAATCGTTCATCAGGATATTGACAATTGAACCTTAATTACCAGGTTACAAAATACAAGGCACCATCATTGAGCCTTGTTATTCGTTCCTTCCCTCTCAGGATGTTGCCTTCCTATTCTTTCCGGAGCCGCCGAACCGCCTTGGTTCCTTTTTCCCACTTCTTGGCTGCGCTACGCAGGTTCTACGAGCATAGCAGCCCCACAAAGCCATTTTGCAGGCCGAGGCGAACATTCAACCAATCATTACTGGAGAGCTTTCGGCCACACAGTGGCCACACGAAGCTGAGCGCAAAACCGAAGCATGAAGCTGAGCGATAACCAAATTCTCTAAGGGACTACCTGGCACAACGTTTAAGTGTGCATGTTCATAGATGTTCAGACGGGTTGAGGCCGGTCTCTTTTTCTTCCAGGAAGAGGGAATCCAATTGGGGGGTCGACCCCATTAAATACGCATCCATTGTTCAGTCCGCAACGTGCAGCCGAATGCTTCCGCCCTTCAGCCTGACGACTGGCGAGTGGTGCTGCTAGGCGTTTGGGGATTTCTCGCGTTGGGTTTTGACAGGCCAGCGCGACGGTGGCGGAGGGTCCAAACAGGCTGACGATCCCGGTCCACCAGCTTCTGCTTCGAGTGACCGGTGATCTCATGGTCCACTATCATGGTCCAACAGGTCGAGTATATAGGCCTCACTGCTGAGTCGACAGGACCAGTGAAGTCGAGGGAGCAGGACCGAGGACAGTGAGGGACCGAGGACCCAGTTTGGACCCACCAGGGGCCTTCATGAATTTCTGCTCAGATTCACGGCCCGCGTCCACCACATCCTGACGGATCCCCAGGAATCCATCGTCAATATATGTCAATATCCCTTCGCTTTTCATGGCCAAAACGTTTTGGTGCAAAAAAGGTAGCTATACATAAATGTAGTTTGGATCCTGCAGATGCAACTGGGTGACCCCTTTCAAATCAATTAAAGGCACGAGGCTGTGAACCTTTGCATACACCTAGATTTGGCCCAAGCCAGATTCGGCTCGTCCTTTGAGGGGCCAAAAGAGGCCCCGGAACACGAGGCGGTCTGAGTTTGACCATCTCAGAATAGTTTGGAACTCGTCAATTGTTGCTCTTTCAGTTCTACGTATTTCTGGAGGTGTGAAGAAGTTGTGGAACTACATGGAACTAGCAATGCCTCTGAAGTGTGGATGGCAAACTCACGGACAGCTTTGGCCCTCTTGTGGGCCGTTCTATGTCATGCAAGCCAGCCTTGCAGTATGCCATTTGCTGGATGTATGTTGTCACATGATGCTTTAGCTCAAACTCTCATCGGCACAAAACCTTTTCCAGGCGGTTTTGAACATATAGGCCCTATATAAGGCCCCAGGGTGTCTTTGGTTGTGCACCCGCCCTCGGCAGTACAGCTGGCCGTTGTGCAATGGTGTGTGTACACACACACACATACACATATAGGTACACATATATATATATATATACATATACATATATATATATATATACACATTAAAAGATATAGATCGATAGATCTATAGTCTATAGACATGCTGGATGCATCTGGACATATACATCTATCGGGCGGGCTTTGGACTTGAGATCTTAAGTAATGTTCCTAACAGCTCTCATCAGCTCACAACACATTTCAGGTACATCTTCTGATCATGCTGCTGCAACGACTGATCATCCCAGTCGTTCGAGCTCTTGGACGCCGACTTCTCAAGCCGCTGGCGTCAGTAACCGGTAGCATGAGGTCAAAGCGCCTGCGGCCTGGGAAGTGACCATCGAATGGTCGGACCAACCCTGGTGTGACTGAAAATCACATGGGAACACGGTTTCTGGCCCGCCCGATGTGTGAAATCTCACGAAATCTTTATGAATCCTCCATAATCCTTCGCACCTTCCTATTCCTCACAGTTGCCCCTCTCGCACCTGAATGAAGCTCTGCATTGCGGCACTCGTGCGAAAGATAGCCAAAGTGCAGGCAAGCGGCTGACCACAAAAGGGCTGCCACCATCATGACGTGAATGACTGTTCTGCTGTCTGAAGACATGCCAGTCTGCTCCAACCTTGCTAAAATCGTTGCACACTGACCACTGTGACTCTTGACAGTCATGGATTAAGATGGCTGATTGTTTCAATGTGTGCCTCAGGTCAATCTAGTGGTGATGACCTATCTTCCAGCCCACCACATTTCTGTCCTCTTCCCACGGCTCTGCGGCGGTACAACTAGCCAAGGTCCAGAGTAAAGAAAGCTTCACCTTTTCCGAAACTGAACAACCACAACATTAATTCCACCTGTACGTCGTGCATCTGTGAGGAATCCTTGGCCTTGTTGCCGTGCTGGCCCCTTTCTCGGCTGCCAAGTAGCACTGACTTGGGTGATCGTTCAGCCTTAGCAGCGGCCCGTGTGCAGCCAACGTGCAGTAAGCCGTAACGTGGGTGGTCAGGAGTGCTGACATGGCAGCAGTAAAAGCTCCGAGTGGTTCTTGACTCTGATAAAGCCAGACCTTCAAATCACTAACCGTTGTCATATGCCCTTATTAAGCAACACAACGGATCAAACAGGTGCCTAGTATTACCTAAAACCCAGGTCTTTTTTCCACCCTGTCTCCCCTCTGGTGCCCGCGTCCCGGACCTCCGCCGTGTGTCCGTGTCCCGGTGGACTTAGCAAGGCACTGAGGAGTTGGATGTCCGGAAGTAGCCTGCAGTGTCCGTGGTTCGAAAGGACATCTTGTTCGAAAGGCACCCTAAACACACCCAAACAGCACCTGAAAAAGGGCATGAACAGCGGTTTTTGTTCAGGATCAGAATGATGGGAACAGCATGACTTTTTTTGGTTGGAAAGTGTCACCTAATAGAACTTTTACAGAAACTGAAACCATTTTGATACAACATTGGATGCACACTATACTGGTTGGTGTTTTCAACCCACTTGAAACATATTTGTCAGAGGGTCCAATCATCCCCAAGTAAGTGTTGAAAATAACTAAACATATCCGAAACCATCACCTAGTATAGAACGCGTACTAGAACCTGAAAGCTTTGGACCTCGGGCCAACTCCTCCCACTCTACTCGACTGCTCGCGGCTCAGCGGCTCGAGGCTTCGGTCGTGCTTGGGGTCCTGGCGATGAGCGCCGTACGGCGCAGCGCCACGGTTCCGGAACGATGCCGTGTGGCAAAGACATGAGGCAAAAGTTTTGATCGAATCGATCTGGTGGAGATCTCGTCTGATGGTGTGGGAGGCTCATTTCGGGATTCAGTCTTGGAAGCCTCTCTCTTTTTGGAAGGTGACCCTGTGGCAACCGGGGTTAGGTGCTTGCCGAGTCTGGATCACAGGCTGCCAGACATCTTTGACACAGTCGCACAGCTGGGCCTTGCAATCTGGCAGGGACCTCCTGGGCGTTCTCGCTTGCAGGGGATGCATGCATCCTGCAGGTCGCGTCCAACGGGTGCACAATTGCATGGACATGAACTTTCCTGGATGAGCCTTGCAAAATGGACGACGTGAACAAGTGTGAGCAAAAGTGGCTCGCAGGATCGATGAACAAATCTTCGCTGTTGCTGGGTCAAACGTATTCATCACCTGTACCATCCTCTGACATACTCCAAAAAACGTGCCCATATCCAAATCCTATCAAAGATCAAAGATCATCAAAGATCCATTTCCATTCTTCTGCGCTTCAAGCATATCGTACCATCTTCAAGCATTCCACATTGTCCTGCTTCCTTCCTTCCTTCCTTCGGCCACTTTCCCCTTCAGTCCAGCTCGACCGCCCCCGAGGTGGACCAAGTGCCGCTGGGACACGGCCTTGATGGGGTGAATGGGAGGAAGCAAAACATCTTCGGACCTGGGAGACGGGGCTACCTCATATTTTCCTCACCCCCCTCCCCGTCCGATCAAGTGCAGACTCTAATCATGTTACATCCAGAAGAAGCTGGAGTGGAAGTTGACATAAAGGAACATGAAAGGAATGAAAAGGAAAGGGCATGAAACGAAAAGAAAGGGACATGAAAGTAAATCTAAAGGAATTGTACAGTAAAGGAAACCACCAAAAGAACAAGCCAGGGTTTGTTTAGTATTATTTGAGGTCTGGAGTAATTGAAGGGTTGGGCTCCTTGTGATGAGTAGTCTTTGTCTTTTGATTTCAGGTTACAAATGGCAATGCCCAATGCTGGCAATGTGGCGACTGAATGCCACTGATCGCAGTCAGTGCGAATTTTTCAATAGTCTATATGCATTCATACATAAACTTATATATATATATATACATATCTATACACAAATATGCGCAAACAATCGTGCCTTCTAAAAAAACGGTTAAAAAAAGCCTGGGGAGGGTCGATCGTCGATGCCAGATGCCTTCATCTTCGTCTTCGATTCTGCGGTGTTCAGAAAGGTCGTCGGCTCCCGGTTGGTCGCCGCTTAAAGGAGGGTTGGCAACACCGTGAGGGTAATAGGGCCCTGAAGGCTGGAGGGCCCGACTTGTTCGTCCGGCGTTTCGTTCAATCTTGTTCTTCCGGAGAGCCGGGCTCTGAGTTACAACCCCGTGCCAAAGGTTCGCAAATCTGCTTGGACATGCACATACTCTCTGGTTTCAGTCGCTTGACGTCCGACGATTGTCCGATTTTAGATCGGCATCAAGATAGCCCAAGTAAGGAATTGCTGATGTCTCTTGGGCTATCGTTGTGTCAAGTCACTGACAAGCCTCCTTGCTGGTAAGGCCCACCTGCAAAGGCCAATTGACCAAAGAAACTTCCGATGAACCAGAAGTTTGCCACATGGGAGTTGGGCTTGCTTAGACAGGACACCAATATGATGTGGCCGATACTTGGCATTCAGGAAGTTGCGAATGCCAAAGATCTTCTTCAATGGGAACACCTTCTGCACCAACAAAAAGGGTGGCCCCGGAAGACACCTAGTTGTTGAGATTTCGTCAGGGTGTGGAACGAACCTGTGTGGAACGAGTTTCAAGGTCGTTTCTGCTGTGGACGAGTACGTGCCAGTCATCGACTGCCAGTCATCTACAGCGATAAGCCAGCTGTATGGCCTGACCACCTTTTGGGGTGGTTTCTTCTCCTCGACCCAGCACCAAGAGCGCCGGGTGAGGGGTCTTCTGTCAGAAGCTCCTGAGAAAATAACAACAATCGAACACGAGAGAAGAGTCTTTCAACAAACTTTGAAGGAAAAGCGCGGTGCATGGGGCCAACACGCCCAAAATTCCTTCCCATCGCGTGCCTGAGAACTATAGCGGCCAGCCTCGCAAGCGGAACAAGCCTCAGATCTGTTCAAAAAGCAGCATGCGGTTGTTGTGCGGTTTCTGTGCTTTTGTATTCCTGATCCTTGTGGAAAACCTTCAGGAAGCAGGGTGGGCATGAGGAGATGGTGATACAGATATGCTTCTTACATCTTACAAACCCAAAAACTGACCTCAAAACTGCCAGGACCAGGATGAAAATCAAGTTGAAACGAGGCTGGGATCACCTACTGTATTGTATCACTGATTCTTTTCCAGGGGCGTGACCCCAAGACCATCTCCCCAAGACATAGCAGGCAGGGAAGGTTTTGGGGGGGGGTTGGGCTCGATGTGTATAGATGTGTTCACCTCTCTGCTGTGATCACTGGTGTTCTCTTTGTCTCTCTCCTGACATGGTGTGGTCCTGAAATGGTCGACATGCCCCTCGGCCCCGACATGGCAAGACCTGCATGCATCTATGACCCAAAGTCGTGGCCACAGGGCTACAGTCGTGGCCCTTTTCTCGCAAAATGTGCAGTCATTGCGCAGTTGAGCTGACATCGCTACCAATGAAGGGAAGCTTGCCCTGTCTTTAACAGTGGCGTTGCCTTGCCGAGGAGCATGCATCCGACCGATTCGACAAGAAAGAACCCAGAACACCCTCATGCCTTTTCCCACAAGGCACTGCTGCTTGGAACCAAACATCGTGGATGGCAGGGCTTTCAGCGAATATTACAGCTCGCCCTTGAATCTTGAAAGGGACAGATTCTGTATCTCTACTATGCGCAGCCGTTATAATCTTGCGTATGTAAAATTGCAAGATCATGACATTATGAGTATCTTGCTGAATCTGGACCTTTATATAACCTTTTCGTGCTAATAATACAAATCAAGTGTCTTCGTGGATCTGCCTACCGCACCTAGAGCCTGCTTACGGCACCATGTCGGCGGATTGGCATCGCTCCTTGACATCGTCAGTTACGTCGACCAATGCGTGCAAGCGATGTGATATTTTGCAGGGTGCCCAACTTGGCAAACTGATTAATCCATATTGACCCAAAGGATTCCCATCTCAATCTGCGGGGTTGCGACGTCTGGTGGCACCCTGCGGCCGGACACAGTCCGGCTTTGTCGAAGTGAGACGCATAAGAAGATAATCATGCTTCGCATGGACACCATCAGCGGCCGCCATCCACAAGTGAATCTTAAGATTATTAGGCCAAGCAGCTTAATTCTGGATACTTGATATCTTGGGTCCCTGGTCGCAGTGCTGCCTAATTTCTACAATTGATATCAATTGATTCTGCAGCAGAATAGATCTTGCAGGTCACGGTCATACGGGCCAAAAAAAATCATATCCGATAAACAAAGGAACCGGCTCCATTTCCATACCTTTCAGGTGAAGGGTTGTCGCCGAAAATCCGCTGGCGCCTACCAGACTCCAAACAAAGTGTAGGAAAATATTGCTGCGCCTTGTGTCTGAGCACAGTGTGCACGTCCGCGGGTGGTCTCAATAATCGTATTTTGCTGCTTTCAGCAGTGCTCGTTTGGCTAAAAAGCCCGAAACGCCCGTTTAAGGCTGGGAAGCGAAGAGGCGCACACCCAAAATATCCCAAAATCACCAACGTGAGACACGCATGTTCTGCCGGCGTTGTCTGACAAATACACGATTTGCGTCACGTGCTGCCTCCGCGCTCCTCTTTCGTCGCGTGAAGGCCGACCAAGCAGCCAGACTTCACATCCAGCGAATATGTCGGAAACCGTGCTGAACCTGGAGATCTTTCTTTTTTTGCGAATCTGCTGCTCTGCTTGAAAAGGAAGCATCACCGAGATGAATGAATCTGGATAACCATCACCCCAAAGAAAGTAGAAATTAACAAATAGAGCATCGTATGGCATATTCCCCTTCGTCTTTCCATTCCTTTGCCTCTTCCCTTTCCTTCTGCTCATGTTCATTCCTCTTCTTTTTGCTCTTTTGGCGGAGAATGCAAACTGGGGAAGAAACCAACCCATACGTATCCATACATGCATTATATACCTTTCAGGTCTGGACCCCTTCGGGTCCAAAACAAACTCCGTATGACTCCATTGACAATGGTTACAATACTGACATTTATGTTTGCCTCTTGTGCAGTGATTTGCTTCCATGTCCATCATGTCCGTTGACTTGCTGTGTCAGAGTCATAAAAGTCCTTTCCTGTTCTCGTTCCTTCTCTTCTTAGAATTCCTCTCCTCCCTTTCCCCTCCGAACAGGCCAGACTATCCAGACTCGACCATCAATGAGTCAACCGGAATTGTCTTCGACCTCCTGTCCATCGAAGACAACCTTTGGGCCCGGAATCTGCGACATCATCTGGAACACAACCCAACCATACCCAACACCCAGGTGTTTTGCTCTTTCGATCCAAGCCTCAACTCTTCCTCTTCAGGATGTTTCACTTGCATATCTTCCATGTTCAGCACGGGAGGTCGGGAGGTGAACCATTTGTCTCACCCCTCAGCAAATGACCCTCTGCAGCTTATGCGGCCGTTCGTCTCGTTGGAGCCGCTACTCCAACTCGCGCCTGGACTGAGCTCGGCGCCCCGACAGGTAATGAGTTTCCTGTTCAACCTTGATTCAAAGTTCATGTTGTTTCTTTTTGGGTGTTAGTGTTTGAGAGGACTGGCCGTCGAATGGCACCAGACCGACGGGCCGACACCAGGTGGACCAGCCGTTCGCTACATGGAGAAAACAAGAAAAAACAGGGCTCCAGGATATGACCCATGCCCTATACTTATGATATTTTCGATTCTTTTCGTATACTCATAGTCCAGGGTATGACCCATCCCCATGGAAGATCTTGATCCATCCCATCCCGATCCCAAGATCTTCGATCTTCCAAGTATCGTGGATGGAACGTAGATGGCGCAATTCTTCAGTTTGCTGGTTTATATGGACCCCGTTGACATGTATATGTTCTCCTGAGTGTGGATCTGTTTTTCCTATTTGTTTCTCAATATTACAATTATTTCTATTTGTTTAAAGGATTTCGGCTCTGTGTGTTGAGTTCAATCTCTTAAATATACTCTGAAACCACTGTCTTCGAAGTATTGCACATGCCCTTTGGAACTACCACACCCCATGCCGCTTTACTATTTACGATCACATCCTGCTTGCACACAAGTTGCTGTCGATCAGAAATCTCCTCATCGCGTGAGCGAACAGTGAATAGCCACCGCTGACGAGTCCGAACCCTGTGGGTGGGCACTGGTCGACATTGGGCGCACACCTGTCAATGCTGTCCAAATTTTCCAATCATGAACAAGAAAATCCCCCCTTCCAGTGCCCCGAATCCTGCCGATGACCATCGTTCAAGTCGTCCAATTTACTCTACGATCTCCATCAGCGCTTCATGGCACCGTCAGATTCAACCAAAACCCTTTCATCCTGCCCTCATACGCCCCCCATGGTGCTCCATTTCCCTCCCTCGCTCCTTCACAAGTGTTAGATACCCTTTTTCATCCTCCCTGTTTTCCTTCCTCTTCCTCCCTCCATTCCTTGTCCCTCAACCTCTCCTTCATGGTGTTGGCCAAGGCCGTGGTGTCGCTGTCCACCTCATTGAGCCTTGCCCAGTTGCCGCCCGTCATCTCCAGGGTCACTCGATCTTGCTGGACACGTAACCTGCCGAACCGGAGCCGAACGCGGAGTCGTCTGTCCCCGGGACGGGGAAGGGACGTGTGAGGTCTCCACCGCTGGCCCGTTGCAACCAAAAAGGACTTGACTTGGCCTTGGGGAGTGCGATGGTTACGGCATCTTACGATGGGCAAGTGCAAGGCACTAACAAGAAGTTAGTAATATAATTAGTATTAGTTAGTAATCCAAAGCAGCCAAATCAAATACAAGCTCCAACTCATGCGGTGTCATGCGATGCTTGGTGCTTGAGAGCTCTCGTCGTGGGCGTCAGCGTTGCCGAGGAACCGAGATCGGGAGATGCAGGTCCGGAAGATGAAGCGATTGCGAGCCACGGCCACCTCGCTCCAAACACGGTGGCTCCACGATGTAACGAAGGTGGAGGGTGCTAAAGGGCCATCTCAGGCCGGCCTATTGTATCTGGCTGAGCCGAGAGTGTCACAATCTATCACAAAAGCAGAAATACCGAGTCGCTTCTGACATCGACTTTCGGAACAGAAGGGGCTTTCGAAACACTCACCTGCAGAGTGGCAACCGAACGCACAACGCTGTATGTGGATCTCAAGGTCCAAGTCGCAAATTCCGCTAGATCTGAAAGGTTGCACGGCACCTGAGCCCAAACATTCGGTGGCGAGTTCGGCGTGGACATCTTCGACAAGAGACATTGGAGTTTGGGGAATGAACATGGCTCAAAGATGGGTAACTATCAGGGAGCAATCAGCCTGGAACCTGGCCAGTCTTGCATCACATATCCCACCAAATCCCACTAGTTTCAACATCTCATTTCCAAGGCACGATTTTCAATTCGTCACCCAGCGCTGCAGCCGCAACAACTGGCTGCAAGTTGGAAACAATATCCACCAGCACCTGCCCGAGGAGGAACTGCCCTGGCTTTCTTCCCATCAACTGCCCTAGGACTCGGCAGTATAAAGCATTCATCATCATGCTGCTGGCCCTAGAATGAGATCACATTTTGGAATAGGCCGCTTGGAGATGCTTGAAGTCATTTCGTCACGTAGAAATGGAATGAAATGGATGGATTGTAGGAAGCACAACAATCATATCCCTATGTTTTGATGGGTCCAATCCCAATCATGTCTTCCCCATCCTCGGCTTTGGTGAGACAAACTGCATCCACGTTCCTGGAGGAAGCTGATGGTCCCAGCTGTGTTGCGGGAGTGTGTCGGGCCATTCCTAACGGCCAAAACCACCCTCAAGTTGGATGCACAATCATCCAACTGCCAGATGTAGCACCCAACCAAGAACAACTGAAATCACAATCCAACATAATCATCAATTTCGCTACAACAACAGCGCTGCAACTTCGATCCACTTTTCCTAAGCCCCGGGCTTCGTGTGGCGTCCATCGGT